CTCATTCGGCGTTTACACTGTTGAAAAATCAATATTACAGACACTAGCAAATAATCAGAAATAATGATAAAACATTATGACTCAGCTTCAAAGGTATCTTCGTTCTCATCGAGTCGTTTATGGTCGATAATATTAATGAACCTTAATGCGGAAAATGATAAGGGAATACAATAGGAAAGTTAGCAGTCAGCTTGAACGTAGGCGAAATTTCTTGACCAGGAACGACCGAAGAGGCGGATCATTTGATGGAATTCTGTGCTTCCATTAGGTCAACCTGATGACCTTTATGTCTTTGAAATTAAAAAACACCTGTGGGGAAAATTAGATAGCGAGTATTCTAAAATAATTTTATTTTAAGAAAAGCTCTACATTGTTTGAGCACCGTCATTCTCATTTGCATACCTTTCCCTCGCGGTCCAAACGATAACGAGATCTGAGATTAATTATCAAGACCCGAGGTACGAAATCTTTTTCATAATTAGGGAGATAGGAAACGAGATATTGAGGACGAATTTAATCGAAAATAGGAAGTTCACGTTCATTTACGTCCTTGTTTTCCGATCGGAATCAATCTCTATGGGAGCAGCAATCAGTACGGAATACCGGTGAAAATCTTACACTGCAATCTGTTAAATTTCCCTGAAAGCGGCGAACAGCGTTACATGCACATATAATACAGCCAGAGTTGGCCATTAATCACTGGCGGAGTTCATCAGCGCGCGCGTGACAATATCGAAAACCATTTCATTTTCAATTTATCCACCGTCATCCATTACACAGCGAGCGCGCGGTAGATGATTCTTACATGTATATGTATGTATATAAAACCGGAAAGCTCTTTCAATTCTGCATGATAAATTGCGTACGATCCGCAACGTGATAAATTGCCAGGAAAATTCTTAATGAGGAGACAAAAAGGGAGGGAAAAAATGGAATTCATCTCAACGTTTAATTAATGCAAGTCAATGGAAGTGTTCCGGTATCACTTCGTTCACCGACACCACGTTTTAAATGTATCCTACGAGCGATCAAAAATAGTACCCAGTTTACTCCTGGCGGCCGATAAGCACCGGACGTGTTCTATCTTGAGCACTTTTCCCCTATGGCAACCCTCGCTGAAACGGTTTATATTATTTAATCGTTCGGCGTTTTTGTTTCAGCCCTAGAAGACAGCAACAGGTCAGGAACGAATGGAGGAACTCGAAGATTGCCCGAAATTTGTCACTCCTAAATGTCGGGTCATCTTTCACAAAGCAACACTCGGTAAGTCCAGCACAAACAGTTTAATTAGTTTACTGGTTTACCATGCATGCCGCTTCGTAGGTAGTTAGATTGCATAGTTCGCCCTTCGAGCGTGTGTATTATCACGACTCCTAACGAGGCGTCTCAAACTATTTTAATCCCAGGGGTAAACGTTTCATTTACATAGAACCGAGCCCGCAGGAGATTGATATCGCAAAACACTTTTCAGTTTAATCGTATTAGAACGAAACGCGACGACACTCTTCAGAAGGTTTCGAAATTGCAACAAGAGAATCGTTGAACAATTTAATTAAAACACGGTAAACGAGATTTAAATGTGTTGTTAGTAGAAAAAGGTTGCGTTAAAATGAGACGTCCTGTTTGCGACGATCAATTAAGGCCACAAAGGAAGCAAATAGTCAGCGAAGTTTAATAACGATGTAAACGAGTGCATTAACTGCGCGTCCTCGTTAAACAATGCTCCTTGCTAATTAATAACAAAGGTTTAATCAGAGGGAGTGTCGACGGATATCATTTCTTTGGTAATCTGCTCGCATGAGTGAACTTGTTAAACACGCTCGGCTTTGCAATTAACAAGTTACTCAAAGGCTCTGCCTGACGATCCCCGGCCACTGGATTTGGCAACAACCGCGAAAACCAGAAAAAAATTCGACCATTTCAAGGCTTTTGACTGGCAAAGCTCTGCCGTGAACAATCCTCATCCTCGTGCGAAAAAGGAGCGGCAAAGGACTTCACCGCGCCGCCGTGCCTGAGGCATCGGCTTCACTCTCTGTGCTTGCCTCTTTGAGATTGAGCCAAAGATACGTCCTATTCCCGTGCACGTTTGTCCCCTTATTAAACGATAGCTGAATCGTTGCTAGAATTCGGGATAATTGCATTTTGTCGTACTGTTCAGGGCTGCGAGGCTCCGAAAGAACGAAAGGGTATACGCTTCGGTGTCGCAGAGAATTCCCTTTGAGGTTCCCACGCGAATCACCAAGCAAAGAATATGTACACTTCGAGGTAGTATCAATGGCTTCCTGGCACCCTGCTGTCGCCAAAGTATCTATTCTCATGCAGCGCAAAGAATACGAACTCCCTGTATACTGGTGTACCGGTTTTTATTTCGGATTTGTAATAATTTTGAAAGGTTGCCGGGAAGTAATAATTTCTGCTTCCGTCGCAAGGAATTACCTTTTGTCAACAGGGTTCCTTTAATGTCAATCGCCTTTTTCGTTACAAGGTTAAAGTGCGAACATCTCCGCAGTGACATTTCCCAAGTCGCACCGCGGCTCTTTCGCATCATGAATTTATTATATAATGCTGATGAAAATATATTATGATTAATCACGTTCTTAATTAAAACAAATGGGGTGCAATAACTATAAAGCTATTAGAGCCTTGGGGGGACAATCACCCTTTTATTCTTTCTTATTTTTGTTTACGGTTCCATAAAAGGAGCGTCGTAAAGCAACGCCGTAAAGATCCAGTCAGGGTTCCGGTGTCACGCGAAGATTTAATTTGACAACTCAAATCCGATACTTTCGAGCTCGCGCTATTGCCAGCCACGAACGTGGTTCAAGGGCCATGCGGGGGTGCAGGTTTTATTGCGTCCGACCATCGTGCGCACGGGCTCGCTTCCCACAACAAATCCGTGACAATCGTGATTTCTGCACGCTCTAAAAAATACTCCGCTCAGCAAATACGATCGGATCATTAAATTCGTCAAACAAAAAATCGTGGCCGCCCTTCCAGCGAGGTGTTCGTTCGATTCCACTCGAGTCCCTCGGCGTATATCTTTTTCCACCTTTTTTTTTGGGTCAGAGGTCCGCACAATGGGAAAACATGGATCGATAAAGAAATTAATGGGCGTTCTCCTTTAATACGAAACTCGTCTCCCCTTAACGTCTCTTGCTAGCAAATTTCTGACAGCTTTCCAGGCTCAGCCAATGTTGGTTACATTCTCTACTTTCTCCCTTTATCTGTCCTTTGTTCTCGATCCCTCTGTTCCCTCCTCTTTTTTCCTGCTCCTCGTTTTTTATTCCAGCTCATTCTTTCCCCGTTTTACACTGCTCGTTCCACCGATTTCATTTCCACGACGATTCAATCTGTGTTCACCGTACTGTTACTTATCTCACGCTGTGTCTCACCGTCCGACACAGAATCGAACGGTTTCCACGTATCGGTGAAACAAGCTCGGCCAACCTTACAGTTTCGATGTTCACAAGTCTCACCAATTCTCCCTGGCTTTCATTCTCCTGCGTTCTCATCGGCGTCGATTTACCGCGAAATTCTTAATCGACCATTACTCACAACGGTACATGATCTTCAATAATAGAATTATGAACGAAACAGGAAATCCATTGTTCGGAAACTTTAAACCAACGTGTTAACAAGAAACCATTAATAGGCAAGCCCTTCTGCTCAGAAACTCTTAACACGTCCGCGACGTTCACTCCTGACTCTGTTCCTTAAACGGTCCAAGTTTGTAATTAAAAGATGCGCTGTCACCGGTCAGGAACCAATGACTAGTCGAAGTTAAACGAAGTTGCATCCTTGATGAAATAAGTTCTCGACGTTGGCTAACCGCAGACTCAAAGTATCGTACCGAAATAAAACGAAAACCACGGGTAAACCGGAGAAATCCAGGGTAGAAGCCAGGAAGATATTCGTGCAAGCTTTAACGAGCCCGACTATATTCCCTTTTTTTAACCCCCGGTCCGTGACACAATATTTCGATAGATATTGCAATGTTTGAAACCGAGAGCATTTGACCGTGGAGATCAATCGATATTCTACGCGCGGTGCACGGTTATGATTTTCCAAGTAATCCACCGATGGAAGTTCGATTGGTCTGCAGCATCTTTAAGATGCAATCGATACCCGGCTGTATATACGTATAACACTTTTTCTCTGGTATTTCATCAAGCTTACGCGTGCACGTGCTGGATAACCATGTACGATAGTTTGTGAAAAAAGAAAACCAATAGCGAGTAATGAAAAGTCGAACTTCACCGTCGAGCAACGTGAGGCTGCTACGTATGTTAATTTCCCGGAGAACTACCTATCGTTGCTGTTGTGTAACCGCGTAACGCTTTTCACCGATATTTTCAGTCGAATAAACGTTTCGACGGCCTGAATATTCATGGACAGTAACGCGTCCAGAACGTTGCACGGTGATATTCTAAATAATCTAATCGCTATTTCAATTTCGACTTAATCATGCGGAATAACAATAACGCGCCCGCTTAACACACTTTGTTAGGAATTATTGCGTAATTATATAGAACGTATTAATAATGCACAGTTAATATTGTCCCGAATTAATCCCAGATCCGTTTTGGCCTAGTTTATCATCCATACGTGGGCGTACACGACAATTATGAAAAAAAGCAGGAACTCTCTTGAATGGGGTCATAAAAATATTTTAGTAGTCGAAATTTCGATGAAACTTTCGAGTAGCCATTTTTTCCGCTGTCCTTGGCTCGTCCTTGTCGCCTCCCAAGTTATCGATCTCTTCTTGCCACGAATTTCTACTGACCTCATCCAATACATGTATATCTATTTTTTTTTTTTTTTAAAGAGCGAAATATCGTCGCCCTGTTCTTTATGATAATTTCTAACAGACTTTAAACCGCGTTATTTACTTTATTATAGCATTCTTCAAAGTTCAAAGTTCAAAAGATATAGTTCGATATTTTTATTATATTATTACTTTGTTCTTGGAACATCCAGTATAATGATTCTTCGTAAAATCTCGAGTGAATAGCACGAGCGTTAACATCCACTTAGTCGCCGCATCAACGGCCGAAGAGAAGAAAATATCGCGTAATTAAATATCCGCGTAGCCTCTATTGCGCTTCGTCCTGCGGTGCGGGGACCTCTCGCTATTTCTCTGCATTTTCGAAAGCGAGTCGAACGTGCCGCGCGACAGGTCGCGTTAAGTGAGAAAGATGAGGTCCGCACCCGTGGACGAAAGTAGAATCTACAGTCGGAAAGGAATCCACGATCGGCGAGAGGGCGAAACTATGTTGTTCGCTTTCTAATATACTTTGCCTCCTCTATTTTCCTGACCTCGCGAGTCTCGCCCACACGTGAGAACGAGGTGTCGAACACTGGTACGCACTTACGTTTTCCTCTCCACCCGCTAAGTTTTTCACTTTTTTCCCTTAATTCGACGCCCTTTGTCCTGTCTCACGACTACGGAGTGTTCGGAGTCGAAAGTTTTTAGCAAAAATAGGAATCGTTATCCTGTTCTCGCTGGGGAAATTGTTCGGTAAAAGCTTTCGTTACTCGATGCGCTTTAAGTATGACGATAACAAGGTAGAGGGGGTTTTAATAAGCCAGCCTCGGTGGCGGAGGTAGTTTTTGAAAAATCGTTGCCAGACGCAGCCCGAGTAGAGATTAAGTCGGTTCTTTCCCGGAGATGGTGGTCCCTTCAACCCTGACATTTAATGAGTGAAATATGGAAAGCCCAAGATCTTGCTTAGCAATTTTGCAATGCAGATTATGTATCGATTTCAAAGGGCAAGATACTCCAGGGTTTCTCTATATCGTAACTTCGCGACGTTTCATAAATTTAACAATTCGCAAGCTCTCTTCTGTCCATATTCATAGTTCTCGCACTCTTGAAACACCAATTAAACAAACGAGAAAAAAGGCTTTCCAATTAAGACAAAAACAGCTCGTCTTTTCCAAAAATGAAAAAGAGAACACATCCCGCGCGCCTTAATTAAGGGAACTTCAATTAAAATAGCTAGGAGAACCTTCCACAAGCTTCAGTCCAGCAATTAACATAACTTCTTTCCAACGTTCGTGTATTCGCAAACGAACCGCGAACCCTTTTGCCCGGAACGTTTAGAAAATATGAAGAGGGAAGCTCCTCCGAAAGTTTTAGTCGCCAGCAGCCGAGACGAAACTCCGAAAATATCCTCCCCGCGTATCTTTTCTCTCACCCCCTGAAAAACATCGTCCTGGGCGACCTTTACCCTCGACACGCAGCCAATTTCTGCGTCTCCTCCGTCTAGATCCGAGGAGGAGGAGGGGGACGGTAAGAGTTGACAAGAAGAAACAGTCGCACGTGCGGGAAGAACGAAGGGAGAAAGAGAACCGAAGCAGACGATGGTAGGGGTGGAAGCGAGGATGGGGGTGGCGTTCGGTGTCCGCGCAGTTTCGAGCCTCCCCCGTCGGCGGTGAAGAGAATCGGCATTGGGGGTGGGTCGAGTTCGAAATGACGGGGAACGGATTTTCCCTCTAGTAGAACGCGCGACCTCAGTCCGGTAAGATCGACGCCGCCCTCGCCCCCGAGACGACACCAGAAACGGTGATAGAAAACCGACGAACGAACGAACGAACGCGACCACGATTCCGCTTCGGGCTGTAACAGCTAGGCTTTCACATCCTCTTCCTCGATTGCCAATAAATAATCCAACATACGAAGGTCGTCGTACGGGTTCATCAAAGAGGAAAAGGAATCGACATTCTCTGTTTTCCTCGTCGTATCGTAATTCTCTTGATCTCTTATAAATAATACGAAGTATCCGAGAGGCTGGTGAAGACCGTTACGTGAAGAACAAATTTATTCACGTATAAGAGTTTAGTAAGACCTAAGCAAACCGAGTCATATACGAAAAAGTATATAGTGGAAAAGCAGAAGAGGGGCTCTCGTTGTCACCCGAGATGAGAAGAAAACGCATGAAAAAGATCGGGGAAGCAACGCGGCAAAGGGACGCGTAGGATGCCGGAGTAGCTGGCGATAGGGAAAAGGGAGACCGGGACATCGACGAGGGGGAGACTCTCCCTGGACGGAAATTTCGATTGAAACAGAGACATCCGAATAATCGATTTTATGTAGGGGATCCTGCTGTAACTTCGCGGCGTCGCATCGATGGAAGTCGAAGGTATCGTATTCAATTTTATACTTTGCCTGTCGTAGGAAACTGGAAAATCGAGTCTCCCGTAGAACCGAAATAGAGCATAGGATGAAAAAACGAAATAGTACGTATTATGCATTCGCGTGCACCCAGTTTAACCTCGAATCGATAGAGCGAGTTTATGCGCGCATTTTAATAAGTAAAATGGGAAAGAGCAATTACGTAGAGAAGCTTCCTTACTTTTCGTATCACGAGACTTCTAGGATATAGCGACTCTCAAGTCTCGTCAAAGATTTCTATTTTTTTCTACTTCTGAAAATGTATGAAATATCGATCACCGTCCCGCGGTACCTTCTGGAATGTTTTTATTTCCCAATCGCAATCGAATCTACTCCCTTATCGCGATACTCACGTACCATCTATATCTATAGGAACGAGACGTTTACAGCTTACAGAGTTCATCTCTTTTTATCACGATTTGAAAAGTCTGGTCTAGCAGCTGCCATTTCCGCGGAGAAATATCCACGACCCAATCGGAAATAAAACTTTGACACTCACGCGTCATTCTACAGACATCGGGCAGCCGGGAATTCCGTCTTAGAAGCCGCCTGCTGTCGAAGATACTTGAAAGCGTATAGGATATACAAATAGGAGGAAATCGAAGTTCTCGTAAAGTTTCCAAGGAAGAGGAATGCTTGCCGCGTTGCTATAACTTCTACGCGTTCAACGATCGGAAAGAAATTTTCGCTACGTGGAATTTTCATTGAAAATTTATTTGAAACTATGCGGGAACTTTCTGAACAAACGCGGATCGTTATTGTATAGTGGGAAAATTGCTTTACCCGCTTATCCGGCGGATTTGCACGATAGCGCAAACAGAAGGGGAGGGTGAAACATCAGGAAGACGTCACATTAACGTTCGAATAGGATTTCAGGAATCCGTTAGCAAACATTTGTCTTGCAAATTAGCTTGTTGCTGATTCAAATGCGATTCATAAGTTTCGACTAGCCTCGTTTCGTAAGCTCGCTGCGAGACACAGTAGGTTACTTATCCACTTGCGTACGTTTTGTGGCTCGTAACTGAATGATTTATTTAATCGTGAGCAACTTAAAGCAAACTCTATCAGAAACTGGAAGCTCGTCACATCGAATTTAAAGAATCCGACGACAACCGACTTACAAGCCATTTACCTTCGCGGTCGTTGAATAAGTTAAGCTTCTTACATGTAAGCAAGAAATCCTGTAAATTTTTAAAACGGGAGAATCTCGAGTTCAACTCGTTCCCTCGAAAAATCTCTTCAATCCGAATGCATAATCGATCGACGTGGAATTTAATTCAAATTCAACATCACATCTTTTCGTCTCTCTGAATTCATCAAGTAGAACCTTATTATGACTTCTCAGAAGAGTGTTACCTTTTCAATGAGATGAAACTGAATAAAAAACGTGTCTAGTTGTATTTCCTATAAACGAGTATCAGTTATTCTCTCTCTATATAATTTATTACACAGCCCAAAATTGAATACAAATTTTTACGTTTTGATTTTTGGTTTGCCCCGTCGATAGGATAAAAGAATTACTTACGAGTACTCGAAACATTCTGCGGACGAAAATACAATAATTTGTGGATGATGAAACCGAAAATAACCACTGTACGGAAAAACGATACGCGAAAATCGCGCGGCCACGTTATCCGGTCAATTAAGCACGCGAACGGGAAAAATAAACGTAGCTAACACCACGCGATGCACGTGGTGTTCGCGTATGCTGCGGTATTCTCAAAGGAGAATCGAGGGAGCACAGGGGCTCGTGCATAAATTAGCAGTTTCCCGCTTGCCGGACCGGTACGCTTCGATCGAATCGCGCTATTGACCGCGCACTCTTTATTTGCCCACTCTCTATCCGCTTCATGTTCGATCTCTCGCACACTCAGCTCGTCAGCCGTAGGACTAATCTATACCTACCTGTTTTGTCCACGACAATTCTTTGCAAAAGTTGAACGTCTATTTGCCTGATTGATGAAAAACTGTTCTTCTTTCTCACTGTGATCCTTTGCAAATTTTTCCAGTTGAACAGTACTATTGTAGGTGCGTAAGTTTGCAGCGTTTAATGGAACCAGACCAGTGAACAGAAAGTTGCGATAACGTAGGTAATTTCGATGGCCGTGCAACGTTCAGAACGATTTTCACAAGGAGAGGATTTAATCGAGGAAAGGAATTTTTTACCATTAATTGGAATTCTTTCGGTCATTCGATGCATGCATGACACACATTTGGATACATGCCGGGAATTTTAATCTCGCGTGCAAATTCGTCGGTCCATCGGCTCTTTATACATACATTGCTGCTAATTGATATCGCAAAATTCAAGAGATGCGTGGCAACCCCACGAATCCCCGTGTTGAACCGACGGGGTAATTAATTATTGACACGTAGCCCCGATTATACGTCCCGAAACGGTGTGCAAACTTTCGGACAACAACAACTCCGATAATTATAATAGCCTTTGTCGGTTACTAGGCTTCATTGAAATTGAAGGAGAGACTCATTTGAAATCGGCCGTCAAGTTTTCAAAGTTTAAATAGGTAATACGAACCTATGATTAACTTCCAATTAATAATTAAACGTCAGACGTCGTGAATTGTACTAATGATTGTATCTACTATAATCAGAATTAAAGGGGAGTACAATAAATTGATAAAATGCGAATTCGAATGAAAAGAGAAGCCGGTTCTTTGCACGTCATCCCCAGGCACTTCGTTCCCACTATCCAACGGGAACGGTAAAGTCCTGAAAAGCCACGGCGCATCGTATCTTTCGTGTTTATCCAGATGGTGCGCTTTCAGGGAACAAGTTATTGCAAGTTTATCGCACACAGTTACAAGATTATGAAAATCCATGGAGCACCGAGAGGGAGTTTAATAACGATTCTTCCTTGCTCTAACCTCGGTCCCCGCGTCCGTGAAAATTAATCGAGGATTTTCGATCCGTCGAAACACTGAGAGTTTTCCTTTCAACCAACGCGACGCAAAAACTTCGGAGACCACCTTGCCTGCTCCCACGTCAATCCTTAATATTCTATTACAGCTGCGTAAACGTAACGTCGTGGTCACGGGATCAATCCATGTGATTCTTTTCTCCTGCGTAGTTCCGTTCTCGACTACAATGAACAGCGCGATTCAATTAAGTCTACCATTCCATTTTATCAATTAACCCTGCCCACCGCTTTGTAATTGTTTAAAAGGCAGGAAGAATTTCAAGGCAATCTGGTTTTTCGTTACGCCGTATTCCCTGAGGCTGAATCGAAATTCAATTAATTCCCGCAAGAAGTAATTTTAATAGGAAAATAATTCTTGTAATAGCTCCGCCAGACCTGCTACTTTTTTTGCGACCTTCTCTCTCTCTCTCTCTCTCTCTCTCTCTCTCTCTCTCTCTCTCTCTCTCTCTCTCTCTTTCACAATGGAAACCTGATTTCTTGGAAATGGAATATGAAAACCACGAACCAGGCGCAATTAATGCATTTGGCAGAAAAATAACAGATGGATACTTTTAAAAAGCGCAAACGGTAATGAATATTTAATACGATTTTAGTTTAACTCTCTTAATGACTTAATAGCAAATGACTCATATTTAATCGCAACGCTTAGATTTGCGCTTCTTATTTATTAGCACGGACACTCGGTAGCAAATGGATTTTAATATAATCCCGAGCGACGTTCCACTTTGCTTAAAGAATTATTGTCCGTCTTTAGTCTTCGCGGGACAATTTCCATCTTGATGTCGTTTCCACGTCCCGACGAGCTGAAATTAAAGCATCTGTTAACGTCCGCGAAATTGCAGTGCAAATTTTATTGAAATTATCTGTGTAACTGTTCATCGACGTCTTCAAGTGACGACAGTTATAAAACAATCTGCATAAAATCCTCAATAAGGAGGTATTAAAAACAAATCAAGGGAAAATTCAGCAGTTTCTTAATTAACAATCTTTTATGTTGTCATCTGTAATCCAAGAAAATTTTCATAGATATCTTTAATGCGAGTGAAATGTTTCTGGAAAATGCTCAACTGTTTATATTATATTCTGCTATGGCATGAGAAATATTGAGGGAGCAACAACTCCGCTATATACGTATAATATACGCGACGGGTTTACGCGACGCTCTCATTCCTCTAGTTTCCCGCACCCCCGGACAGGATGTAGACAACCGGAAAGAGGGTGCGCACGGTGCGCGAATTCATTTAAAAGCGCTCATTCACTTCACTGGCGAGACGTTTTTGAATTTCGCTGGATGAAATTTCCACGCTTGCGAAAAGGGCCAGCGCGAGAGGACGTCTAAATAAAACCGATTCAACGATACGAATTGCGTCCTTTCTCGCGCGCGTGCACCTGCATTAAAATTCGTGAATAGAACTCGCAATTTTATTGGAATTCCGATTTGGAGTTACCACACGTGTTTCTCCGTAATTAAGGGGATCAATATTTCAGAATTTATAAAAATTACAAATTCGTTGTTGAAATTGTTGGTTGTACTTTTTTTTTTGTTCTGGATGAAAGTACTGCGAACGTCGATTTGCAATTTCGGATCGTGCGAGGAAAGTTGGATAACGAGTTGAAATAACGCGGATGATGGTTACAGAGGAACGAGGTTGAAAAAAAATGTAAACGAGCTCGACGACTTCCACGTTTGAAAGTGGATAACTTTTGCGGGCTCGGAGCTTTTATTTTAATGAACGTTGCGCAAATATCGGACATCGCGCTTGATAAATAGGTGCTTGTTTTTTCCTTCGTTAAATTGCATAACCTACAGGCATACCAATTTGCGAAACAATTATGATTGGCGTTACAATAAATTTATGGAACAATCAACGCACAGTTGATTTTTGCAGGCTTATTGAATTTGAGGATTTATAGGCTATACACTTAAACAATGTTAGCATGTTGAATTTGTTATTATGGATTCCTATTACTATTAAAAGGTACCTGCAAAATCAATTCATGGTTTTTTTGAAAAATTGTAGTGATTTAAA